CCCTGAGTGTATCTTCTGGTGTGTAAGGAGGTGTGACTTCTCTATAAACCTTCTGCCACATTTACTGCACACATAGGGTCTCTCCCCTGAGTGTGTCGTCAGGTGTGCACAAAGGTGTGTTTTCCGTGAAAAACTTCTACCACACTCACTGCATACATAGGGACTCTCCCCTGAGTGTGTGCTCTGATGTATAAGGAGGTCTGATTTACAGGTAAAACACTTGCCACACTCACTACACGCAAAGGGTCTCTTCTCTGAGTGTGTCCTCTGGTGTGTAAGAAGCTGTGACTTCCGGGTAAAACTTGTGCCACATTCACTGCAAACATAGGGTCTCTCCCCTGAGTGTGTCCTCTGGTGTCTAAGGACGTGTGATTTCCGATTAAAGCAATGACCACATTGACTGCAGACATAGGGTCTCTCCCCTGAGTGTGTCCTCTGGTGTGTAAGGAGGTGTGACTTCTGGGTAAACCTTCTGTCACATTCATGGCACACATAGGGACTCTCCCCTGAGTGTGTCCTCTGGTGTCTACGGAGGCATGATTTCTCCTTAAAACACTGACCACATTCACTGCAAACATATGGTCTCTCCTCTGAGTGTGTGCTTCGGTGTCTAAGGAGAGATGATTTCCAACTAAAACAACGACCACATTCACTGCAAACATACGGTCTCTCCCCTGAGTGTGTCCTCTGGTGTGTAAGGAGCTGATATTTCTGGTGAAAACTTCTGCCACACTCACTGCACACGTAGGCTCTCTCACCTGAGTGTGTCCTCTGGTGTTTATGGAGCTGTGATTTCTGATGAAAATTTCTGCCACACTCACTGCACACATAGGGTCTCTCACCTGAGTGTGTCTCGTGGTGTCTAAGGAGGTGCGATTGCTCAAAGCAATTCCCGCACTCACTGGACACAAATGGCTTTTCCTGGAAGAGGGATGTCTTGTTTGTGATACAGTTTGACTTCAGGCTGGACTCAGAGCTGACCACTCCACATCTTGAGGTGTTGAATTCCTCCAACCTGTTGTCTATGTCCACGGAGATCACCCTTAGGTCTGAGTGCGCCCCTGTTTCCACCACTTGGGGACCTTCTCCATCACTCTCTGATTGTCTCTGAGGGGCAGTGGCAAACGCTCTTGAAGTCTCACCCTCTCCTGTCCTTCCACATGGGGGTGTGGAGGCTTCTTCTCTAGCCTGTCCACCTGTGTTTTCACTCGAGCAGCCATGGTCTGACTCCTGCTGTGATGGCTGCTTCTGAGGTCCCAGGCTGGCCTCCACTGGATGGAGATGATGTGTACATGAGCCGAGGACACTGTGAAGCAAGTGGTGGGTGAGGAACTGACCACAGGAGAATGCTGGAAGACACGTGGAGCTGGGGTCAACGTCTGGCTCTGGCTCTGCAGAACAGAGAATGGTTTCTGTTAGAGTGGCCTTAACTGGGGCTGCCTTCTCTATGACAGGAAACATCTCAGTGCTGGGATTCCTGGGAGGTCACACCGTTTGTTTCACATACAGTTAGATTTGTCTCTCCCAATACTAGTTCATTTTCCCTGTATCTTTTCTCACTGATTTCTTTGAGTATGTCCAACACTAGTATAACCAGTGAAACATAAAACAAAAGGGCATGTCTCTCCTTCCAACATCCTTCTCAAAGACCTCACAGGTACCTTCTAGTTTACCAGTCTCATTACTTTCTGGTTTTGTTCATCCTCTATTGCCTTTTGTGGAAACAATAAAGTTTAAGGTTTTAGGCTTTTCTTTTCTTTATTGTTATTATGTGTCTGCAGTCCAAATGGACTCACAGCTGACCTTCCAGCAGGTTAGGAAACTGCCCATCTCTTTGCTTCTGAGTGGCTGGTGGATTTGCACCTCTTGCCTTTGGACTGACAGCACATCTGTTTAATCAGTAGGACACAAGAGCCACCTCCCAACCTTGGAGTCTATTAAGACACATTGGCCGTGACACATCTGCCTTTTTTTTCATTTTAAAAATCTACATGGGGGTCATACAATATTTGTGCTTTTCTGACTGATGAGTTCACTCAACATAAAACCTTGAAACTATACCCATATCATGGCATGTTTCAAGACTTCATTTCTCCAAGAACCTCCATAGTAATCCATTGTGTGAATATACTGCATCTGTTAATCTTCCATCAGCTGATAGGCATGTAGATCACTCCCAACAGTTTACATAGAGAGGTCAACATATTTGCTGCTCTTCCTCACTGATATGCTGTGACCAATTAAACCAACCCAGTCCAAAGGCAGCAAGCCAAATCCTCCTCACAGTGACTTTACAGGACATAGCCAAACTGCTCCACCATGGTTCTAGATTTTCTGAGGCTGTCAAAATCTTTCTAGAAACACACCGTTTCATCTCTCTTTCCTGAAGCCGTTGGTGGGCTGGAACTGCAAACCTCTTGATTAATCACAAAAGGCTTAACCACGGGACCATCAGGGTTCCCTCGACTCAAAAAAGAACAAAAAGCAATGGCAAGAAGTTGATTCTAATGCCCCGTGGTCTCCCAGGACACAGTGGAAATGCCTCACTGCACACCAACGGTATGCACGTTTATGAAAGCAGAAGTCCCTATTCCTCGTCTCTGGGGCAGCTGGCAGGCTGAAAACACTGACATTTCATTTAGCAATGGAGTGGCCAACTAATGCACCAGCAGACTACTCTAGCATATGTTCAGTTGCCGACCTAGGTCTACTGGATTAATCAAGGATACGAAAAGAGCACATCCTCACCCAATGACAGCAGGTTCCTGTAAATCTCCAGCATCACATCCTTGTACAGGTTCTTCTGCTCGGAGCTCAGTGTCCTCCATTCTGCTTCCGTGAAGACCACAGTGACGTCCTCAGCTGTGACTGGTTCCTACAGGAAGCAATAAATCGATGCACCGAAGACCACCAAGAATTTCATCAAAGACTTTAACTAGTGGCCCTAAAGAATCAGGTTCTGAGACAGCACATTTAATTCTTCTCAGACAATACCCTCTACATCAAGACCTTTCTGGGTAGGACGGTATCCCTAAATTTTTGACAAAAATCTATACTAATGACAAAAGGCCTTATTCATTGTTCAGCTCTCAGGCACACAGCAAGTGATCTGAAAGACTATGGGGTGAATCAGATGCATCTGATTCCTCAAAATAACATCACTGCTCCTCAATAATTTGGCGAGGTTCCTGCCTGAAGATTTTCTCACTGAAATACATCTCTAGATTTCCTGATTGCTGGTACCAGGGGTATTGATTTTGGATCCTAGTAAAACAAATTCACTGACAACTTCAGTCTTTTCTCCATCTAGCATGACGTTGTCTATCTGGTCCAGTGGTGAAGAATTCTTGTTTTCTGGATGTTCCAATATAATATAAACAGAAAGCTGAATCCTTTGATCATCTGCAGCAAGTGCTTCAAGTCCTTCTCACATTCAGCAAGCAAGACTGAATCATGTGCCTGATTATTAAAGAATCTTCCTCTGACCCGGATATACTTCAGAGATTCCAGCTACTCGAATTATTTGCTCAGCAGAGTTTGAATAGGTATGGAGAAAGGATACAATCCTGACACATTCCTTTCTTTACTTTAGACCATGCAGTGTTCCCTTGTTCTGTTCACACAACCATCTCTTGGTCTAGGTATAGACTCCTTATGAAGACCAGTAAGTGTTCTGGGATTTACATTCTTCTCAATATTAACCATAATGTGTTATGATCCACACAGTTGCATGTCTATGCATAATCAAGAAAGCATAAAGAGACACTCTTCTGGTATTCTTTACTTTCACCCAGAATCCAAATGACATCAACAGTGAGATCCCTGCTGCCATGGCCTCTACTAAATCCTGTCTGAACTTCTGACAGTTCCTTAGGTGCCATATAGTTGCTTGTGACTTCCTTGTGACCTTATGTACTACAGCACTGAAACCTGCTCTACCCCGGGCCAACTTTATTATCTCTGACACACCTACCTTCATTACCCAGTCACTGCACCAATCCATCTCATCAATGGTCTCCATCTCTCTGCCCCTCAACCCTTCCAAGCATAACGTCCCTATCCAAGAACTGGTCCCTCCTTGCAATACCCAAAGTATGGCTAACAAAGCCTTAGAAGCCCTGCCTTGAAAGAGCAGCCTGGCTTCACCTCTCTAGGATGAACCTGTTTCTTCTCCTGGAAGAACATGGTATTTTCAACACTCTTCCCCAGCACCACAGCTCAAAGGCATCAATTCCCTTTCTATCATTCCCAGTCACTGCCCAGCTCTCTGACACATAGCAAGCAACTGTGAAGATTATGGCCTTGATCAGATATACCTTACTCTCCAGACTGACACTGTTGCTCTTCAGTACTCTGGCAAGGTCCCTAACCGCCAGCCTTCCCAATGCAATTCACCTACTGATTTCCTGGCTGCTGGTACCAAGAGTGTTGACCTCTTAAAGAGTCCTCATCATCTATCATGATGCTACCAGTCGGACCAGTGGTGAGAATCTTTGTTTTCTTTATGTTGCGGTTCATCTGATTCTGAAGGCTGCAGTCCTTGATCTTCTGCAGCAAGCTCTTCAGGTGCTCCTCAGTTTCAGCAAGCAGGGTTGTGTCAACTACATAACACAGGCTGTTGATGAATCATCCTCTAATCCTGATGCCACATTCCTCCTCATGAAACCCAGCCTTCTGGATGATCTCTTCTGCATGTAGGTTGAAAAGGTATGAAGAAAGACTATATCCCTGGCGTAGTCCCTTCCTGATTTTGACCCATGCAGTGTTTCCTTGCTCTGGTCTCACAACTGCCTCCTGGTCCAAGTATAGGGTTGGCATAAGCACAATCAAATGTTACGGGATTCCCATTCTTCTCAGAGTCAGCCACAGTTTGTTGTATTCCACACGTTCAAACACCTGTGCATAATCTGAAACATAGACTTTCCTCTGGTACTCTCTGCTCTCAGTCACGACCCATCTAACAGTAGGTATAATATCCCGAGTACCATGACCTCTTCTAAATCGCAGTCAAGTCATTTTTAAACGATCTTCAGCAGTCTTTCCTTGTAGTTGTTGTGTACTGTCGAATCAGAAGCTGACCCTCCAGTGCGTTTTCAGAGGCAGTTAACTGCACAGGAGGAAAGTGACCATCCTTCTGCAGAGCAGCTATTGGTTTTGAACTGTGTGACTTTGGGATGGTAGTGCATTTTCTTACCACTAGGTCCCCGAGCTCCCTTGCAGTATCAGTCATAGCACATGAAGATATTTTCCTTTCATGAGATACTAATCATATTGTTCAATAGCCCCCACATTCTATTGGCCCACCTTTCTTGTGAATGGAAACAAATGGGGACCTCTTCCAGTCAGTCAGCCTGAAAGCTGTCCTCCAAATGCCCTGACGTACACTGCTGAGCACATGAAAAGCTGTACCTGTTAGTTGAACCAGTCAGTCAGTGTATCTCATTGATCCCTGAAACCTTAGTTTTCCCCATGTTTTCAGTGTAGCTTTAACTTCTTCCTTCAGTAACTTTACCTCTTGGCACATCTTGATATTTTCAGTGTCAACTCTTTTTGGTACAGTGACTATGTATGCCCTCCATCTTCTTTCGATGCATCTTGAATCATTCAACATACTGCCCATAGCATCCTTCAAGACTGCAACTCGAGGCTTCAGACGAGTTTTCAGTTCTTTCAGATTGAGAAATGCTGAGCAAGTTCTTCCCTTTTTATTTTCCAATCCTAGCTCTCTGCACATTCCATTATAATACTCTGCTTTGTCTTCCTGAAATGTCCTTTGAAATCTTCTGCTCACCTTTCTACTTCAGCATCTTTTCCCTTTGTTTTGGCTTTCTGATGTGCTGTGTAACTTTCAGAGCTTGGATAGTTTGTTTCATGACTGGAAAGGTGGATGGTCCACAGTATAGAGGAAGACCCTCAATTAGAAGGACTGACTCAGTGACTGTTCCAATAGACTCAAGTGTGTCGAGAAGTGGGAGGACAGCACAAGATAGGGCTGGGTTCTGATCTGTTGCTTACAGGTTTGTTATAGGTCATACTCGACTAGATGGCACCTAATAACTACAACAGCATGACAGAACTCACAAATGATGGGATAATACCTGTTGGACCTCAAACCTGTATGACTTCACTGGAGAAATGCTTTCTGTATAAATTTGAGAGCATTAAGAAAGTCTCCTGAACCAAAGCAACAACAGCAAGGTACAACACAGTAGTAAGCAGAGTAACAATCAATCAATGCTAGGGATGCTGTGGAGAGATTCGATCCCTTATTCACTGTTGGCAGGGACGTACAATGGTGTAATCACTACGGATGGTGGTCTGGTGCTTTCTCAAAAAGTTGCAAACAGAAATAATACCATTTGACCCAGTAATGCCACTAACTGGGAATATACCCTAAAGAAATCAAACCCATTATCCACTATCCATATATACACACTTCTATTTATTGCTACATTGTTTACAACAGCAAAGACATGGAAGCAACCCAAGTGCCCATCAACAAACGAAACTCTTAAAACATTACACAACAGAGGTGACCCTGAAGGACATTTTACTGAGTGAAATATCTAAGTTACAAAAGGACACATATTGCATGGCACCACTGTTAGAAAGGAGATCTGACATGGGAGTTTGGGAGGACTGTAAGTTAAGAGTGGATAGATAATAAACACTGCATGGAAACAGCTGAAGAAAAGAACTGTTTAAAAGGCATATGTGATTAGACATTCTATGTAAGACAACAGTCCAGAGTAAGAGGCACAATACAAAAAGGACTGGATAGAGGAGGTGGAGGAAGGTAATTGTACAACAATCAATGGTATTTAAAAAAACAAAGAAGTGAATTGGGTGAGGGGGGGAAAGAAAAACAGGAGTAAATATGTGCAATAATAAATGAATGAAAATCTAATGTTTCTGTAAACTTTGGTTAAGATAAAAATGAAAAACATTCTTAAAAAAATAAAAATAAAATCTTGGGATCCAGGAAGCTCCTCTGAGAAATCATAATGGAAGAATTCAAAGATGGAAGAGTGCAAGATGAGACAGAGAAGATAACAGAGAGGTGAATCTAGTAATAAGAATTAAAGGACAGTGAAAATTTACAGGAGAAAATGGCAGGAAACATATAACAATAGACAAAAGTGGGGAAGTTGACGGGATCTGGAATTCTGAATCATTTCTGAGGAGATCAGCTAAGTTTATACCACTTCAAATTACCTTCTGGAAATAAACATCTTAATAAGGTTTTCTACTAAAGTTCTGAATATTTAAATCACAACATATAGAGTTACTCAGCAATGTGAAACAGTTAATAAGCGAATAGGAGCAACATTCCCCCAAAAGTTATACTCTTTATAGCACAAAAAGAACTGTGATCTGTTGCCAGTGAACTGACTGCAATGCATTTCAGCCTCATTTAACAGAGTACATCCTCCCTCTGGGGCTCCTCTTAACCTGATCTGCACAGCGATCTGCTGCAGGGGGACTGCTTAGTTCAAACAACTTCCTGTTAGCAGTAGTTTAATTTTTGTTTTAATTGTTTTTTTCTGTTGGTTGTCATAGAGTTGAACAGGACTCGTAGTGAATCTATGAACAAAAGGCCTGAAGCCCTTCTGTAACTATCACCATGTAGCAAAATTCCCAGTGTCCAGAGGCATGCTGTTTAGGAAATAGATGCCACTCCTGCATCCAAACCTGTCTTAAACTGGGAGGTCCACCACACACTGTCCAGCATGCAAAACCATTTTGGCTTTTGATACCGCAATGACACAAGGTTCAGCATCACAACAACTCCAGGTTACCTTGATCCAGCATATTAATAGAGAGTGCTGAACCAATCAGAAGAATGTTCCTCCAAAATATAGTAACAAGCACCTTTTAAATACAAAGGCCCTCCCTGTGGTCTAGCTGACTCGAAAAAAGAGGATTAAAGAAAAAAAAAAGAATCAATATAGTATGGTTTTTGTTGTATGTGCCATTAAGTCACCTGCAATGTATAGTGACCCTATGTACCACAGCTCTGAATTCTTCCCTGTCCTGAGTCAGGCAAATTCTGACACACCAACTTCCATTGCCCCAGATACTCTAGCAGTATATCTCATCCAGGGTCTTCCTCTCCTGTGCTGTCCCTCCACTCTTCCAAGCACGATGTCCTTCTCCAAGGACAGGTCTGTCCTAGCCATGTGCCCAAAGTATGTGAGGTGGAGCTTCAAAATCCTAGCCTGAAAGGAGAGACCTGATTTCATTCTCTCCAAGACAGACAGATTTGTTTTCTTGGCAGTCCATGGTATGTTCAAGACTATTCCAGCACCACAACTTGAAGGCACCTAACTTTCTTCTGTCGTCCTTGGTCATTGTCCAGCCCTCTAAAGCATAACAAGTAATTGAGAAGACCATGGCCTGGATTAGGTACACTTTTGTGTCTAGACTGACATTGTTAGAGGCCCTTGATGGCAGATTTTCCCAGTGGAATTCGTCTTTTGATTTCCTGACTGCTGGTGTTAAAAGTGCGGTTTGAGGGAGCTCAGGTGGCCTAGTGGCAAGAAGCTGCAACTACAGTCCCAGAGGTGCACGGTTCGAATCCACCAGATGCTCTGCCGGGGAAGGAAGGGCAATCTCCTCCTGTATCAGTCAGATCTGATTTGACGGTACACACACACAAAAATAATAAAATAAAATTTTTTTTTAAAAAAGTGCTGTTTGTGGAGCTGAGCAAGCAGTAACTGCTAACAAACTCAATCTCTTCTATATCTATCAAGGTGCTGCCAATTGGCCAACTGGTGGAAATCTTTGTCTTCTTGATGTTGAGCTTCAATCCATATTGATGATTATAGTCCTTGACTCCTCTAGCAAGTGCTTCAAGTCGTCTTCAGTTTCAGCAAGCAAGATTTTGTCATCTGTGTATCATAGGCTGTTGATGAGTCTTCCTCCAATCTTGATGCCACACTCCTCAGTCCTGCTTCCCAAATGATTTGTTCTGCATACAGATTAAAAAGGTACGGGAACCAGATGCATCCCTGACACACTCCTTTCCTGATTTTGAACCATGCAGTGTTTCCTTGCTCTGCTCTAAGGAATGCTTCTTGGTCCAAGTATAGGTTTTGCATAAGCTCTATCAAGTGTTCTGGGATTCCCATATTCCTCAAGGTTGACCACACTTTGTTGGGATCCAACCACTCAAATGCCTTTCCGAAGTCAATGAAACACAGACAGCCATCCTTCTGGTACTCTTTCTGCCAAAATCCTTCTGACCCTGGCAATAATGTCTCTAGTGCCACGTCCGTTTCTAAACCCAGCTTGTTATGTTACAAATAGTCTATGGAAGTACATTTTAAAATCCATAGACTTTAAAGAGCAAGAGCCATGTCAGAGTGGCCATATCTGACTTTTCCCAGTTTCACAAAGGGGAACTATCTCTGGCCATAACACAAAACCAATTGCTAGGAGGCCTGACACGTGCCCCATGCTCCCATTCCTCTTTCTACTCATCTCAACACCAATCTTACTGCTTTCCTAGGTCTGAAATCCAATGCTCAGAAACCACGCAGAACCAACTGGGGAAGGCAAAAGGCTCTAATTCAGAGTACCAGCAGAATACAGTTAGGACAGCTTCTGAAATGTGCTCATGTCACCTCAGCGTTGAGCTTCGCAGCTTAAGACCAGGACAGCAAAGACCTCAGTCCAGCCAGTATGGGTGCTTAAGTCAGAAGTGAACAGAGAAAATGGAATAGTGTTGAGGCTGGTGCTTTCTACTTGGTATTGTTCAATGTATTAATACCATGACTTATTTTATAGAGATTGATATTATGGGATTATTGTCGGTACATGAGAATATCTGAGAATGAAGTTTTTGCTATATTCTCTACAGAAACTTGAAAAAAATGTCAGTAATTAAAGAAAAAAATACGACAACGTATAAGACGGTATCATTAAACAGTGAGGTTGTACACTAAAACTTACTAGCACACTTAAAATTTTTGAGAATCTATTATTAAGAAAGAAGTGTTATTTACAAGGAATAAAAGCTCAAACAAGGAAATCTTTGAAAAAAGATTGTCTCAGATAATTATATTCTTACTGGTAATCTCAAATACAATTTCTAACATACTGTAATGCAGAAAGCACCTAACAATAAAGCTTGAAATGCCCCAATTCTGAGCCCTAATCTTTCTTAAAAACAAAGAGAATATAAGGTTAGTCTCGAGGAACAAAGCCAGCATTTGAAAAATGAACTAACTCCACGCACCAGTATCTGGGGCTTCCACCTCTTCTGCTGTGTCAAGGTGCTGTCCTTACAAGACGGGCCTACGGGAAGAAAGAGAAGCTGTAAGAATGTTTCCAGAGTGCTTATCTGAGCCACAGAGGGAAGTAAGAAGACACTTCACTCACCAGTGGCCACTAAAGCTGTCTCACCTCAAGCTGAAGCCTTGGGCCCCCTCTTCATTTCTGCAGACCCTCCACAACACTCACCTTTTGCTTTGAGTTTTTCAGTCAACCTCATACTTTCCATAGTTTCCCTTCCTTTGACAACAAAATCTTGGGAAATTCCTGCAGTCCCGAACAAAAGGCCAGGAACTATAAGGGCCCCACAGGCCTACAGGATCCACCTTGAAATTCAGACACAGGGCCAGTTGGAATTTATTTCATCTGCCCATGGCTGGTTGCTGCCTTCACTGACTTCCTCGAACCTCTGTTATGAAAGAAAGGGCCCCTTGTTTCCAGGCACCGTGACCTGTGGGATAGAGAAGAAACGTGATGCACTTGGACCCCAGGCTGTGCTCCAAGCCCAGGTCTCCTCAGCGGGGATCCTGTCATCTCTCTCTTCCCTCATTCAAAAGTCAGCATTACGGAGCTCTTGGGGAGTCCTGTCATACACCTGTCTAGAATTTAAGTCCTAAATTCTGTTGGCAAAAGAGAGGAATAACCTCAATTGGATGGTCACCAAAATACGAACTATGTAATGAGTGACTTCAGGGGTTCCGACTGCAGTGCGGGGTCCCCATGCGCAATGACCTGGCACCAGGGAGTGGGCGATC